GGAAAGAGCAGAGGGTCTGAAGGATGAATGAGTTTTTATGTGTGTGTAAGTGTATGTGCGTTTGTATGCATGTTTGTATGTGAGTGAGACAGATGGAGGGGACTATCTACTGTGAGGATTAGGAGGTCCAGGTCAACTACTGGAGTCACTCTAAGTTCCAGGGGTTCTTTGAGAGTCCTGTCTGTATATTGTGTGTCTGAGTGGAACCAGAGACAAGACGATCCAAGGGCCAGTTCCTGGGTAGGCTGAGTATCTAGGACCAGTTAATGGAGAGATCCATAGTATGGGTGTTTGTACATGTGATTGTATGTGTAAGGTTCTGTGGAGTGGGGCAGCACTACAGCAACTGGCTGCAGACCTTGGAGGCTCATATGTCCAAGAATCAGCAATCCAGGAGAACAAGGATGCAGGGCTAGCTACTGGGTAGACTGCATGCTTAAAGCCAGTTAGTAGAGGATCCATAGCGTGCCTCTGTGTGTGTGAAGGGAGGTATCAGCGACTGAGGATGTCTCAATGCTAGGAACAGGAGTGAAGCTGCAAGCTTCAGGTGCCAGCAAATGAAGAGACCACAGATCCAGAGGTCAGCTACTGAAGACTAAATGTCAGTTTAGTCTAAATGACAATTACTGCAGGGATCTGTGTTGTATATAAATGCATATGTATTTCCCACTATCAGACCTTCATCCTGACCAACCAGAAAGGGGAGAAGGATGGGGCCACTGGTGGTGCTGTTTCTGTTTGCATGACTGGTGAGTGTTTCTGTCTGTGCTGATCTTCGTGGTTGGCCATTCATGTATGTGCAGTGCCTACATGTGTTTGTGTGTGTGTGCCTGCTGGGTAGACCCACTCTGCCTTGCTATTTGTTACACCTGGGGACATGGAGCTGCAGCAGCCTTGCTTATTTGAGGTTACTGGATTTGACAACCCCTAACAATATTTTTTCACAAGCTCAGAGGATGTTTTCTCTTTCCAGCCTTCCAACCTTCACAGTCTTCCTAGTTGTTCATGTTCAAGGCATGATCATAGAAGGCAGAATAAGCTCAGTAATGTTTCAATTCTTTTTAAGAAGTGTATTAAGCCAGAGAGCTTTGCTGCTTGGGGCATTCAGCTGCATAGCAAAGCAAGCTCTCTGAATGTTAGCTTTTACTGTAGTGCCCTTTGCCTTTTCTATGGAAGTACATGTACATTTGGATATATTCAGAATTCAACTGGACAAGGTGTTGAGCAACCTACTGTAATTTAGCCTGGCCTTGAGTGGGGTGTTGATCAAGATGACCTCTGTACTTCCCTTCCAAGTTCATTTTATTCTGTGATTTTATGGTCTGGTCATTCTTGACACCAGATTCTCATCCCACAGGTAAAAGAATTCTTTTGCTGTCTTCTCAGGATCAGCTTTCTTGTCAGTGGCTATACTTTGCCTAGGCTTGGATTGTATAATTTCCTCTTGCACCACTGTACTGTTAAGACACTGAGGGCAAGTATTCTCCAATCCAGAAAGCTGTTAGGCCATCTCTGTCTTTATGAAGCATGCGCAAGGGTCAGTCATCCTCAGGTGAATTGTCATTCTCTTTCATCAGGGGAACATTTTGCTTGGCACACAAGCATTAAATAGTCTTGTTTGAAGGTACAGTCTAACCAAAATCTGAAAATCATTAACATGCCTATTTTGAACAGCCAGATCTGTAATAGCAACTTCCAGCCTCTACCCAGTGGATCTTGATGTTGACATTAAAGTAAAATGTAGCCCAAGAGATTGGTTTGTGATTTAAGTACTAGTATTTGGGATTTTTTTTCACCCTTTCTTGCCTGCAAGAACAGAGGATACTGAAATTGGAGTTTACTTAATTTTAAATTTTGCTTTACAAAGAGTGTAATAAACCCATTTGACTCTTCTAGAAAAGATGAAGTTTTTCTTTTTAGTTTATGGAAGAGAAATACAGGAGACTCTCTCATCAGTTTTTTTCAAATCTTTGAAAAAATAACAGTCTTAATAAGAAATTGGAATATCATTCTTCAAAGAAGAATTGTCATCATTTCATGTGTTTAAAAGCCTCCAGATTGCTCAGATATCTTGCTTATTCCCATGCCAACTAATCTTATCATAAACAGTGCCTAAACATAGGTCAGAGGTTAGGATGGACCAAGGCCCATTCCTGAGAGAGTCATGCACTTCTGTGGTGTTGGAGTTTTTAGCCATGTGAACATGAACCGTACTGTACTTGTTGTTCTCAGAATTAGAGAACTGTTAAACAGCTTGTTGGATTTGTGAATATGCATGCAGCTGATTCAAGGCATACAGCCAGTAGAAGAGGGAGAAAGAAGAAAATAGTGAGGGACTTTTGACTGTAGGTTGCATAATGAAATTTATGCTCATAAAGTGCTTGTGCACTTTTTGTATAATTCTAGTGCTTTCTGACCTAAAATAGTTACTGTGGGAAGGACAGTTCTGTTCGCTTCAGGCTGCCTATTTCTGTTTGCTTACAAAATACTCATGTGCTTGATAAATATTACCTTGCTCACCGGTAGGAAGCTGTCTGGAGAATATGCTTGCCACGGCAGAGCACAGGCTGCTGAGCAAGTCTTCTCTATTTTTTTTCTTCTTTCCTTTCTCACTTTTTATCTGGCTTTCAATGCCCTGATTAACTTTTCTCTATTTTATTTTCTTCTAGAGTTTCTGTGGGGTAGTTTCATTATACTTTGGAAAATGGGAGACTCAGACCTGATTAGAAACAAAAGTTTTTTCTGCACTGAAAAATGACCTTGTACAGTATTCCAGCATATCAAAGCCATGTCTGAGAACCCAGTGGCAAAGTAATGACATGATGGAGTGCAGCCTCTGTGCCAGACTATGCAATTGAGACGGTAATGGGCATGGGGAAATGCCAAGTCCCTCCACTGCCAGGACAGACTAGGAAAGACGGTGCCTCAGGGAGGCATAGGCCTTTTGCAGATGTTCTGCTGCTCAGAGGAGCTGTCTGAGCTGAGCTATCCTTGAGTACTGAGCTGCTAAGCATTTCCCGAAGTCTGTTAGGTAATTTTAGTGGAGTTGTACTTTAGCTCCAGCCAGTAGCTCTTTCCAGTTTTGGCAAGCCAACCCAGGTATTTTGCACTGCTTTTGAATCTAGGAGATGCATCAGCTCCTCAGGAAGGTCTAAGTAATACATGTTCTCAGGTGGGAATATAGGGAACATAGTTCAGGGACATCAGTGAAGGCTGAGGTCTGGATAAACTCAATCACTTGATTATGTCTCCTTTAGGGTGAGTCTCATCTTTCTGATGATTAATGTGGAGTGAATCCCCAGGCACACTGGTAGGAGTAGTGATGTCAGCAATCCATAAATTGGAAATAGAAACCATTAAGGCTCTCTGTTCTGCATAAAATGTGGAACAATCATATCATTAAACCTTTGCAAGGGGAATAGGAATAATGAATCTCATCTGTAAATAAGCTGGCTGTTGCTGTTGGGTTTTGGGTTGGTTTTTTAAAGTCTGTTTTTGAGGGGGGGTCTTCGGGTGTTGGGTTTTTTTAAGCATAAGATAGAAATATGAAAACTCAAATAAGCAAAAAAAGCTTTCCAGAATTTAAGAAAAAGCAGTTGATTTATACAGTGTATATCAGCACATGTAAATACCTAAAAAGACTAGCGTGCATTCATGTAACTTATTACTCTGTCCCACCCTTTCCTTTCCAAAAAGAAAGTGGCCTCATCTGTAGTGCTCATTATGATAACTCTCCTCCATGCTGTAAGTGTGCTTACACTTTGCCTAGGAAAGTTTGGTCAGAATATTGCCATGCAACTTGCTAACCATGAGTTAGCATGATTATGTGCCCAGTGTTTCTGCCCCTGTCTTGGCTCTGCTTAATTTACTAGTATGGACATAGCCTGTCATATTTAATTTCAAAACATGAATACATATTTTTAGTGTATGGAAGCCCTCTACAAGACAGCCTTGTGAGGAACAGATAAGATTTTAGTCTGACTTGGAATAGCACAAAATACTTTTTTTATTTAATTTTTTTAAATATAAACAGAAATACTTCTGGATACAACTCGAGAGACCTCAGAGATTGGCTGGACCACACACCCTTCTGATGGGGTAAGCATTTCCCTTGTCCTCTTGTTGACCATACCTCTGCTGGTAAGATGTGCATGCATCTGATGGAGAAAGGGAAATTGGAACCAATGAGACTTTATTTATGGATTTCATGTGTATGAATAATTTGAACACGGTATGTTGTGCAAAGCCAGATTGTTAAGAGAAGAGGATATTGAGTGGGATACTATTGCTACCTCCTTACCCTCTTCCTTCCCCCCTCCTTCTGAAGTACTCTTGCATTCTTCAGTCATCCCTTCATAGGAATAGAATAGAATAGAATAGAATAGAATAGAATAGAATAGAATAGAATAGAATAGAATAGAATAGAATAGAATAGAATAGAATAGAATAGAATAGAATTTCAGTTGGAAGGTACCTACAACAATCACTTAATAAAGCTGTCTCACCACTTTGGGGCTGACTAAAAGTTAAAGCATGTTATTAAGGGCATTGTCCAAATACCTCTTAAACACTGACAGGCTTGAGGTATTGACCACCTCTCTAAGAAACCTGTTCCGGTGTCTGAACACCCTCTAGGTAAAGAAATGTTTCCTAATGTCAATTCTGAATTTCCTCTGAGGCCACTTTGACCCATTCCTGTTGCCTCTATCCCTGGATCCGAGGGAGAAGGGATCAGCACCTCCCTCTCCACTTGCCCTTCTCAAGAAGCTGCAGAGAGCAAGGGGGTCACTCCTCAGCCTCCCTTTTTGCAAACTATACAAACACAGTCCTCAGCCGCCCCTCACAGGACATGCCTTCCAGCCCTGTCACCAGCTTTGTTGCCCTCCTCTGGACACATTCAAGGACCTTCACATGCCTCATATATCATGGGGCCCAGAACTGCAACCGGCACTCCAGGTGAGGCCACACCAATGCTGAGTACAGCTGGATGATCTCCTCTTCTGACCTGCTGGTGATGCTGAATTTGCTGCACCTCAGGACACAGTTTACTCTCTGAACTGCCAGGGCACACACTGCTGACTCACACTGAGCTGCTGCCCACCAGCAGCCCCAGGTCCCTCTCCACAGGGCTGCTCTCCAGCCACTCCTCTTCCATATATACTTCTGCACAATTACTCCGTCCCAGGTACAGGATCTGGCATTCGTTCTTGTAAAATTTCATGCCTTGGATGATTGCCCAGTGCTCCAATCTGATCCCTCTGTGAGGCATATTGTCCCACAGCACCTCCCTGTTTGGTATCATCATCAGACTTGCCAATGGTGCATTCAAGTCCTGCATCCAGATCACTGATAAATACATTGCACAGAACTGGTCCTAGAATTGAGCCCAAGGAACACTGCTGGTGACTGGTCACCAGCCAAATGTAGCCCCATACACAGTGGGGTTCCACAGAGCTCCATTTTAGGGCCAATATGCCTTAGTATTATCATAAACGACTTGGTTCAGGACTCAAAAGTTTGCTGATGATGCCAAGCTGGGGGGAGCTCTTGACTCCTTGAAGGCAGAATGGCTCTGCAGAGAGACCTGGAAAATTAGAGGGCTGAGTGATCACCAGCTGCATGAAGTTTAACATAGACAAGTGCTAGATTCTGCACATGGGACGGGACAACCCTGGTTGTATGTACAGTCTGGGGAACAAGAGGCTGGAGAGCAGACCCCCCAGAAAGGGTCTAGGGAGGAAGACATACAAGGATCAGGTGAGGTTACTTGGTTTTTTCCACCTAGAGAAGAGGAAACTGAGGGGAGACCTCATCGTGGTCTACAGCTTCCTTGTGAAGAAAAGAGGAGGGACAGGTGACCAGTCATAGGACCCAAGGGAATGGCCTGAAGCTATGTCAGAGGAGGTTTAGGTTGGATATAAGGAAAATGTTCCTCATCCAGAGGGTGGTCAGGCACTGGAACAGGGTCCCCAGGGAAGTGGTCCAAGCCTGCTGATGTTCAAAAAGGGTTTGGACAATGCTCTCAGGTACATGGTATGATTCTTGAGGTGAACCTGTGCAGGCCCAAGACTTGGATTCAGTGATCCATGTAGGCCCCTTCAAGCTCAGGATTTTCTGTGATTGTATGACTCATACTGTGTGCATTGATACACAAACATTTAAGTTGTGCTCCTGAGCCCTCCATGCTCCCAGGAGCAGCATACATGTTCCTACTAGCACTACCATATTCAGGCTGTGTCATGCCAACCCTTGTTTTACCTGCAGCTCTCCTGTTGGCATTCCCTTGCTCCATCAATTCTAGATTAAACCTTTCTCAGCCAGTCCCTTCAGTTCATGAGCAAAGATACATTTCTCCCATTGGGACAGTGGATCCTGTCAGATCCCAGCATACCTTGTGTTTTAAATATTCTTCCATGGTTACAAAACCAAGCATTTTGGCAGAGGCACCAGTCCTAAAGCCAAGTATTGATATCTTGGGATCACATGTTTCTTTGAAAGTGTCTCACCATTACTGGGAGGATTGAGGAAAGCACTACTTGTGCTCCTGAATTTTTTTAGCATTTTTCCCAGGGCCCTGAAATCTCTCTTGATCAAGTTTGCTCTTTTTGTTGTGACATTATTAGTACTCATGTGAAAGAGAATGAGTGGATAGTAGTCTGAAGGCTATACTAAGTTCTTGCATCATCTGATGGCATCACTAAACTGGGCCCCAGGGAGGCATCAAACAGCTAAAAAGATGTTCTGGTCTGCAATTAGGTGTTTCTGTTTCACACAGGAAAGAGTTGCCAATGACCATAATTGGTTGTTGTTTCTTCTTGGCACTGGTCTTAATGCAGATCTTGTTGCAAGGAATTGGTTGGTCAGATTTTCACAAGAATGTATGCGCAGGTTCCTTATCTTCTGTCTCACTGACCAGTTCCTCTGTCATACCCTGGCCCTTGTACCTATAAAGCTAGTTGAGAGGGTAAGGAGGGTTTTTTCTTAGAGCTTCGTGCAGTAACCTGCATCCACCCCTCCTGATTCCTCCCTTGTGCCTTTCTTCTGACACAAAATAGATTCGGGATCTGCCTCTGTAGTAGTCATGCCAAGTGCCTTGTGTGCATAGGATATGTCAGAGCACAGCTCCAGCAGTGGTAAAGTTGGTTAGAAAGGACTTCTGCTTTAATTTATTTTTCAAAAGAATAGTGTCTTGTTGCTCTGTCCCATTTGTTTGTCTTGTGTGCCTTGTCTCTGGGGAAGAAAGATGGGCAAATAGGAATAAAGTGTGACTCATTTTAAGGTTCTCAGTTTTCTGTCACAACTTTGTTCTTCAGAGCTTTGACCACTCTTCTTCACAGGTTCATACTTTGTCCTGTCTAGAGTGCTGTGCTGCACATGGCATCAGCAGGTTCAAGTCTTGTCATAAACATGGCAAGGAGAAGAAAAGGGAAAAGAAAGACCTGTCCTGTCCTGTATTTTTGATGCAGTTGAACACTGAATCAATTTTTTTTTTTTTCTGTTTCTTCTTGCTTTTCCCTCCTCTGTATTGTAGTGGGATGAGGTAAGTGTCCTGGATGACAAGAAGCGCCTGATCCGAACCTTTCAAGTCTGTAACGTGGCCGAACCAGGTCAGAATAACTGGTTGCGTACTCACTTCATAGAGCGACGTGGAGCCCACCGAGTCCATGTCCGCCTCCATTTCTCAGTGAGAGACTGTGCCAGCATGCGCACTGTGGCCTCTTCTTGCAAGGAGACCTTCACACTCTACTACCACCAGTCAGAAGCTGACATAGCCTCTCAGGACATGCCAGAGTGGCGTGAGGGCCCCTGGACCAAAGTGGATACTATTGCAGCTGATGAAAGCTTTTCCCAGGTGGACAGCACTGGGAAGGTGGTTAAGATGAATGTTAAAGTTCGTAGCTTTGGGCCTCTCACCAAGCATGGCTTCTACCTGGCCTTCCAGGACTCAGGAGCCTGCATGTCCCTGGTGGCAGTTCAAGTCTTTTTCTATAAGTGCCCAGCTGTGGTGAAAGGATTTGCCTCCTTTCCTGAAACGTTTGCTGGAGGGGAGAGGACCTCACTGGTGGAATCACCAGGGACGTGTGTACCAAATGCTGAAGAGACAAGCACGACTGGATCTTCAAGCGTTCGATTGCACTGCAATGGAGAAGGGGAGTGGATGGTGGCCATTGGACGATGCACCTGCAAGGCTGGGTACCAACCTGTTGATGATGAACGAGCTTGCCACGGTGAGAGAACCTTTTTTCCCCACCCCTTAGGCAGACACTTCTTGTTGATACTCTGTATCGCTAGTATTTGGTACTAGCCAAAAGTTCACAGAACTAGATTAAATAATTTCTCACAGAGAATGCTTATTAGCAGCTTCTTCTGACACTTACAGCACCTCAGACTGGAGTTGGAATGACCACTTCTTGGTGCTAAGAACATGGCTGGAAATTCCTCTCAGGCCTTAGTTCAAACTGCTGCAAGAGACAGCCTTTGAGGCTACATATACAAAATGAGCCGGAGTTGTCACTAGCCAGGCCTAACATAACTCCATTTTTTACTAAGAGGCAACAGCTTTAGAAGAGAGATGCAACATGGAGCAGAGCTGAGCCCAGAGCTAATACACTCTACAGCCTTAGTTAGTTTGGCCCTTTTGTCTGAGCTTTGGAACTAGTAATAATGAAAAAAGAAAGGGAAAATGGTAGCAGCCTGGTCATGGGACAGGGACCATGTGGGAGGGCTCTATGACCCTGGCCTGACTAGAAGAAGGTCATAATGGTATTATCATTACCTGTAATTTACTCTCTGCCTTGGGGCCCATGGTATTTTCTGTGAAAGGTTTGTAGGAGGAAGTAGAATATATTCTGTATCACTCAGAAGCAGTATTGGGCCAAAATCTGGGCAAGCCTGAACACCCAGTCTTAATGTCATGACTGTCTTCCTATCTCAAGCTTAAGACAGTCCATTAAAGAAAACTGCTTATATTGGTTGTATAATTTTGTGTATAATGTTTTTCTGGTGCTTCCTTTGTTTTAATATGCATTTACTAAAAATCTCTCAGCAATCTAAAATGTTGCTGGACTACACTTAGTACTCTAAAAAATAAATGTATTGTGAAACCCAGTTTTGGCTGCAGACACAATTTTAAAGTTGGATTGTAATTTATTCAAATAAGAGTTTGACTTGAACATTACGCATACAAATATTCTAGTTAAAACCAAGGGCAAATGCAATGGATAATTGATGGTTGTCAATATGTTACCTTAAATTCCTGTTTCATGGAGTGATTTGGGTGGAGAAAAATCACTTGATTAAAATACAGGTCATTGTGCTGGAGACTTATAATACAATTAAAATTGGTAAGTGCTTTTTATTTGTTTAAGCTTTGAGGGTAATTAAAATGTGCTTTTTTGTCCTGCTTATCCAGAAAGAAATGTAACTACCTTCGTATAGTGCTGCTCCTGAGACCGTAAACTCAGACGGACATAGATGAGCTCTGTATGGCACTTGCTTTGTTGTCTGCATCAGTAGCATGACTAGTTCACAGTCCAGATAAACTGCCAGTCGATAATTTAGTGTCAGATAGTAGTCTTTAGCACTAAAAAAAAAAATTAAATAAAGCTTGGCAAATAAAAATAGGGATTTTAAAATATATATGTCTTCCCTTTTTCATAGTATTCAGTGAAAGCTGAAACTCCCTTGAAGCCTCATTATCACAGAAGTTGGAGATAGATGAAAGTTATAAATATTTTAAGGAATAAATGAAATAGTGAGTCTATCAAACTACAAGACTCTGATCCCATCACTCTTGAGGTTCCATGAACAGGTTAGAACAGCCAAATACAAATAATGAACCTTAATATTAGAGGGTATTTTTTTCACCTCATGTTTCTTGTAAACTCCTCTGGCTTGATCACCATTCCTGATCTCATCTCCTGCTAAGAATATGTTACTGTCCTGACTGAATGGAACCACATTCAGCTTGTGTAGTTTGCCCCCTTGCTTGGCGTTTCTTTCCATGGAGTCCTTTCCAGCACTTCTCTGTATGTTCTCCCTTCCTACCATGATACAGTGTTCTAGATGAAATAAAGAACAAAAGCGCTACCCCAAGGACAGATTTCTAGTGATGATACTGCAGAGAGCTCTTCTTAATACAACTGAGGAATCAACCAAGGATAGGAAGGAGAAGCAAGTTTTCTTCTTAAACTGTAGTAGAAGAGTGTGTGGGCATTGCCTTCCCCCTCATCATATGCAAGCCTGCAGGGTCCTTCCTGGACCAGTTGTTATCTCTTTATATAGAACAAAGAAACTGCCAAGAGCCATTCTGAGCAGATAGATAGAAAGCTCATTTTCCCCCCCTGCCCTCTATGATGAGTTAAGATACTTTCACTAGTTTTGTAAGACTGCTGCTGTGTCTTACTATATGGCAAATTTCTCCAGCTAAACAGAAGACTGAAACAACAACCTTTAGAAAGCCCTCTAGGTGATGTGGGATGTGGTCTGCGTGGGGTTCACTTTTGACTTTATTTGAGTAGACTTCTCATGCTGAACAGTTGGAAAGGAGAATGACAGTTTACAGAGGAAAAAAGAAGGTTGGGACTTTAGTTCCATTTTTTTTGGTAGATGTATACACACAGGGTGCCTTGCCCTGCAAGGTTTCCTGCAGCTTGTGTATTTCCTCCTAGAAGGCTGGAAATGGAAAATTCTGTGTGATTAGGCTATCCTAGGCTACTGGTGCCCAAAGTTCTGGACTGATTGTCTGTTCTCCCAAGCCTTCTCTCAGATTGACATATTTATTACTAAAAACAGTTGTTACTGGATCCATCACCACAAACAATTTTACAATATAATGTGTTTCTTGGGATTCAGTGCCCACTGCTTATCATTGCCTTTTAATTAGAAATCACATGAAGTTTAAGTTACCAGATCCTTTTGAAAATGACAATGTGGACAAAAAATAAGAAAAATGACTGCTTGATAAAGTGCTAACCTGACTTCCAAAAGAAGAAGGACAGAGCTCAGGACAGAGCATAGCTGATTAGCCATGTGTGTGGCACCTGTGTCCAAACATACTTAATCAGGGGCAGAAAATATCAGCCAGAGAGAGGACAAAGGAACAAGTTTGGAGTGGAAAGAATTAAGTTGAGTTTGGGGGAGGGAGAAGGAAAGGTGTTGTTTTAATGTTTGTTTTTGTTTTTTCATTACCCACATCTATGTTAATCAACCATAAATTAAATTAAATTTCCTCAAGCCAGGTCTGTTTTGCCTGTGATGGTAATTGGCAAACAAGCTCCCTGTCTTTATAACTTCTTTTCCTCTGTCCACAAGCTTTCTCATCCAATTTTTCCCTGTCTTGCTGGGGGGGGTGGGTAAAAGAGTGGCTAGGTGAGCATTTGGTGTTTACCAAGGCTAGTCATCTGTATCAGGGCATCTTCTCTCTTCTTTCCATGGATGTTTTTAAAAGTATTAGGAAAACAAAAGGTCTGCCTATCATCTTAGTAACATGTAAGCCCATGTCCTGTGGCTATATCTAGTTCCTTCTGATAACTGCAGGAACCAGCAACTGTGCACACAACTCTTTGAGGTCTCATTTGGGAAGAATATTGGATGATTATTTTTGTACTATTGAAAGGTGACCTTTCTCACCAGCCTGGATAAACTTTTTTCAGTGTGTGATGCTAAGAAAATGTTAAGATTTGTGTTAAAGTAAAAGCTTCAGTAGTCTACTAAAAATATGAACATACTCTTAGCAAAAAGAAAAAACAAAAGCAACACAGTAAGTTCTTCTCAAATTTTAGTCGCTTAAAGGATACCACAAAAATAATTTCCATTGCAGGCACCTGTGGAAGTCATGTGCTCCAACCCCATGCTCAAAGAGGGGCCAAATTGGGTTAGGTCACTCAAAGCCTCTCCTAGATTTCAATAAAATTTTCATTAATTTTTCTTTTTTCATGGAAGATTGAAAAATGTCCCTGGGCAACTGGTCCAATATTTGGCAACACCCATGGTGAAATTACTTTTTTTCTATATAGGAGAAGATTTAGTAAGATGTAATAAGAAGTTATTACAACTGTGTCTGTTATCTCATGTTCTACCACCTTGTGCCTACACATTCTTCATATCCTCCCATTAGGTGGCTGATGCCAGCCGTAAGCACCCGCCCCCCAGACTGATCATCTTCAAAATGAACAAACCCAGTGTCTTAGCCTCTCCTGGGTAAGAGCTTTAATTTCAAGATAAACTCACAGTTGACAATAATGTTTGGTGTCTTGAACCTTTTTTTCTTTTTCTTTTCTCCTTCCATATTGTTCCTTTCATCAGCTTATCCAGCCTTCTTCTGCTACATGCACATACATTTTGGTGCTTTTCAAGTAGTTTGCTGCTTTTACTATAGCAAGTGCTTGCTCTCTACTCATATGCCATCCTTACCCTGGCCAAGTCTTTCCTCTATTTTCTTTCACACAGCACATTCCCTGGCAGTCCTCCCATATGTAATTAGCTAGTAATTGCTTAAGCTCCACCTCTTTGCCTAAAAAATCCCTTACTCAGTTGATCTCCTATCAACAGTTAGCAGGAAAGAGCTCCTAGTTGCTTCATTTAATTTTTATTTTCATATGTTCAGTTGATTTGATGCTCTCCTTTTCCATTTAAAACCTCAAATGACGCACTTTTCTTTCTTTATGTTTCTTTCATTTTTTTGCTGTCCCTTCCCCACCCAAGCAGCTGTAGTAACTATGAAACTCTAGATCAACCCAGGGTCCTATTTCTTCCCCATGCCTTGCTTCTACCTCTGGCTGATCCCCGCTTTCTCAGAACAAGACACAAGATACATGCTGTGGAATAGCCTACCCCAGTGGGAAATTGCTTCCTATCACCGTAAACTAGCTGTAGGCTTATTTCTTGGGGGTGGGAAAAAAGAAGTTTTATCTAAAAAACACTTAAATTTTTTTTTTCCAGTGTGTCTTCTGCATGCTAATTATGCTTTCTTGCATTGTAAGAGATGTAATGTGCAAATGTCTACATCATATTTCTTCAGTATTATCAGTTCATAAGTCCTTTCCATCATCCTACCCTCTGTAAGTGCCAAACTCCATCCCTTTGCCTGGAGGCATTCTCATTTGAGGGCCTCTGTAGCTCTGCACATCCAGTTTTCCGTAGGCCTCTAATTCAGTGGCGTCCATTCATCCTTCCCAGTTTGACTCCAATGCCAGCTTTGACACTGTTCATTTCAAATAGTATCACA